ACCAATAAGAGTGCTAAAATATATAATTTTTACATATTAATAAAAACGGATTTATAATATATGAAATATGATTGATGAATTTGTTAGAAGTCAATGATTTTCATATATTAAGATATATCTCAAAGAACCTTTAATAATATTTATAATTCTAATCTATATATCAGAATTTATGAACTTTAAAAATTTTACAGATTTAATGTAATAAAATAATCATTCATAAATTAGTAAAAATTAATGAATTAGATTGAATAATAAAGATTGAATAATAAATTGATATCAAACAATAAATATAAAAGATAGGAGAATCTGATATTAAATATTTTAAATGGAATATTTTAATATGATAATTGAATCAAGATTAAAACCTTGAATTCTTATCAAATTTATTTTGTTATATCAAAATTAATTTTATTTACTTATGGATTATATAATAATATAAATAATAATTATTAAATAATTGGTACGTTAAAAAATGAAAACAAACAGAGAAATTCTAGACTGGTTGAATAGATGTAAATGTGGAAAATTGGAAATAAGGAAACATTTAAATACAATTGAGTAAATAAAAGTATAATTCATTTAAAATTCGATTAAAAGTTAGATATGATGATGAGTAATCAAAAAGTATAAACATTGAAATCTGTTTCATCTTCAAAGATGAATCCAGATTGTCGGACTGCTGAATCAGTATATGAAGATAAAAGATAATATAGTCTAATATAACATGGCAATTATTCTGATGATTAAGATTATAGAGTGTTTATTAGTAAAAATAACTATTACGATACTAATCAAATATAGAATTAGAGATCCATTAAAAAACCGATCTTATAGGAATTTTCTGGTAAATAAGATTCAGATACTATTGATGATATATTTAAATTATCCTAAACAGATTAATCAATGTCTTAATAGTAATTTATTTCCAATAAAGATTTTTATGAATCTATTAAAGAAAAGTAATAATATGGAATAAATAATAAAGATGAAAAGATCTATTAAAATAATTAATACAACACTCAAAATTTTGAAATTTATTAAGAAATTTAATTAAAAGAATCATTATGTCAAATAGATAAAAGAATTAAATAAATTAAAAAAGAGGAATTTTAAAAAAGTTGTCAAAATGAAAACAAGACATTTGATCAGTATTATTAAGAATATGTTACAGATGAAATATCTAATATATAACATGAAATATAAGAAATGCAAAAGTATAAATATTAAGAAAATATGTTTACAGATTCTTGAAAAGAATTTAAACAGCAAAAGACAAATTGACGAGCAGTGTATAAGATTTGAGTTATCAAAATAGTTAAAGATCTATGTAAAAATTGAATCAAGATTTGGATATAATATAAACTTTAAGAAATAAAATGCAAAATTAATTACAAAATAATGTAGATGATAATAAATTATTACGCTTGAGATAAATGAAATAATAGATATAAGAATGTTTTAATGATATAGAAGAAGAGATAATTAAATTAAGTAAATGATATCCGTTTTACTTTTATATTATATATATATATTTTTATTTTTTAATGAAAATAGTTCTAATAACATTGTTCATTGCCTTAGTATTCTCTTAAAATTAAGCATTAAATTAAATTTAAGACAATCCAATTCCTACATTAGTTTATGAAACAAAAAATGAAGAATCATAATAAATTTAATAACATTAACAATTATAAGGTTATATAGATATTGATGGTCATTTTGTATCCAATTAAGCTGATAATAATTAAAATATTTAATCTGAGACCATTATATAAAATAATTAAGATGAAAATTCTAATAGCTAAATGACTATAATTGATAATTCTAACAATTTATAAACTACTACTTAAGAAGGATCATAATAATTAGTTTCAACTGATGCAGAAATTGATCCTGTTTTTGATATGGAAAATTCAATGCCTTATGAATTCCCAGAAGATACATAAGTCTAAGAAGAATTAAAAGATTAAGATGATGATAATCATTATTTATCAGCTAGTTTAGAATTGTAATTATTTCATAATTAAATTAAGACCAATTAGAAATCAAAATTAAGTTTATGATTCTTTAGGAAATTAAATCGATTCTTATGATGGTATGAAAACATACTTGTAAATTATTTCATAAATTTAGAGCTCTAGATATAGCTGAATAAGATGATACTTAAGCAAACATTAGTGTTTAAGAAAAATAAGAAGATTGTATTGTGATTTATTCAAAATGTGATTTCTAAGGAGAAAGCTTACCAATATGTGAATCTTTGAAGGAAGTTGAGTAAAATTAAGCGAAATTTTAGGGATTTCTAATATGATATAAAGTCCATCTATTTACCTGAAGGATACTAAATGACTATATATTCAGAGGAGAATTATTAAGGATAATAAGTTACATACTAAGAGAGTTAGAAGTGTTTAACACAAGCAATATCACTTGCCTAATTAAGAGGAAGATAGACTAAATAAATTTAGAATCAAGATCCAAATGAAAGTATTTTAACATCAAATCTGAGAATTAGATAATGATGATTAATTATAAAGATAAAATATTTATTAATCACAAATTTTACTTTTAGATTCATATAAATATAACTAAATCAATTGTTATATCAAATATTCTTATTTGATATAACTAACTACAATATATACTATTGTATATTATTAAGATTGAAACATTAAATTACTTAAAAAAACTTAACTTTAATTTAATAGTTAATTTTATTAAAAAATTTGATCCAAATCTAAAGATATTATATATTTTTTAATTCTTCAATTGATTGATGTATTATAAATTTAATTAAGTAGATAAGAATTAATATGATATCGAATTTAATTATTGAAGTTTATAAATTACTTAATGAAATTTTATATTATTCATTTAAATTCAAGTTTGCTTTTAAGATAAATTATTGTTTTTTTTCATCCTAATATATTTTGACTCAATGTTTATATAAATGTCAGAAAAATATTTTATATCTGTTAAATAAATGAATTTTAATATTATTTCATTGTTAAATAGATTTAAGAATTATGAGATTTTGATCATTTTTTATAAATATTTAAATATTATTAAATTGCTTAATTGCTTTTAAACTTCCAGTTTTGAATTTTGTTCTTTTGAATTCGTTTAAACTTTTTTTTTTCCGAATTATAAATCTATAAGTTTTATATTTCCACTTTTATCTAATGATTAATTAATATATATATAATTCTTTTTATTCTTATTACTTTAAAAATACAGAAGTTATCTTTTTAATAGTTTTATTAATTTGGCAATATAGTTTTATATTGCAAATTTATCAATTAATTTTATGATATCATTATCTAAGCAAAGAAAAGTATTTCACATCGGATATAAATTTTAGCAATTCATTTAGAATTCAAAATTAATATCTGTGGGATTTTCTAAAAAGTTATTGCATACCTATTCTATTAATTTTAATGAATAAATAATTGGATTTTAATCCAAAATTTCCTCAACATAATCCTTTTAAATTTTTATATTACAATGAAGTTAAGAACGGATTTTATTTGGACAATCCAAATGAACTTTATATTTTTGATGAAGCTGAAGGATGGGCAGATTAAAATGGTTGCTATTATTAAAAAGATGGAGCTCCTGCTGGATGGGTTTTTGTAAGTCAAGGAAAATTTACGAGATATGACATGAATCAAAGAAAAGTGGAGACTGGTAAAAACATTTATTATCCTGAAACCATTTTTGATGAAGAAATGTAGAATGAAGGAAAAATATAGTAATAGGACTAAAAATCATAAAAAACATCTAATTAAGATAATAAAAATCCTTCATAATATTAGAAATAGAATGATTAATGTTAAAATATTAAAAGTAATTAATCTTCAGCAACTTTGAAAGAACATTAGTAACATTTTTAAAGGTTTGTTTAAGAAAATAATATGTAGTTACATTAAATATACTTTAAAAAAAAAAATTACATAAAAGGATATTAAATGGACTAATAATCAGGAAGATAAAGAGTTAAAAGCGAAGATTATCGCAGAGATTAAAGATATATTTATAATTAAAATATGAATGAATTTAAGTCCTATAACAAATTGCCTTAAAAAAATCATAGTGTATATGGAAAATATCAAAATATTAACTAGAATGGGAGATAAAATCATCATTAACATTATTCTAATGAGACTTTTAAAAATTCTGATCATAGAATTCGTTCAAATTACTCATCTAAATCTAATTACAATAATAATTATGAATCAAATTCCAGAAATTTTAATAATAATAATCATAGTAATAAAAGAAATTGGAATAAGTCTAATGAAAATGATAGAAGAGATTATTAATAATATCAAAATTAAAAGTAGTATAATCTAGTTAAGAATCCTTTTATAGATTAACCATTGAGATAATAATATTATCAAAATCAATAGAATAATTATCATGATAGAAGAAATGAACATAATTAAATTGAATACAATATATAATCAGAGAGAATCAAAATATAAAAATCAAACTATGATTATCAAAAAAATTAAAATAATAATCATTCAGATTATTCTAATTATCAAAATAAGAATTTAAATGTAAATAAGGATGGTTATAATTATAGATAAAATAATAATAAATATAGTAAATAAAATGAAAACAATAAAATAATTTAATAACTAAATTTATAAAATGGTAACTTTCTTGATTAAAAATAATAATATTAATATGTTTTACGTAAAGATAATTCATACTCTTAATTTGAGTCAAATTAATAACCTATTTTTGAACAGATACGTTATTTTGGATAGAATAGTGAAGTAATTCCAGATAAATAAGGAGCTCCTGAAAGAAGAGAAAGAAAATCTAGATTGAACTAAACATGAGTAATTATATTCTATAATATTTGTTATTTAAGTAGAACATATATTTCTATTTTTAAATTCTATGTTTGTATCAATAATTAGGAAACAGAATAATATATATGATGAGATTTCGATTTAAAACAAAATATAATTTCAAATTTATTTTTTTTTTCATTGTTTCTACACAATATTATATATTATCAAAATAATGCCCATAAATTTTTAAGCCCTTTCTAAAGAATTTTATTACATTAATTTTTCATGAATTGATGTTAAAATCTTTAAAGTATTGATTCTTGTACTCATTAATTCTGTATTGTTATTTAATGTTTAACTTACTTATTATTCAATTATATTAATTTATTCAGATAAAAAGTTTAAATTGTAAAAATTGATATCATCTACTGATGATTACAATTTTTCATAATAAATTTTCAACTGAGATGTAATTAATGTTTGAGCATCTTCTTTAGATCTAGTTATATTGGATATATCATATTTAATGTTATCTATTTTCTATTCTAATTATGGTTAATGTGCAGGTTCACTAATTTATTTTTTTTATTAAATTTAAATATTTTGTTACTAGACTTATTAGACAACCATTTAAACAGTATCCTTTTCTTGTGTTATATTAGATTTTACTTCTTATACTTTGGGTTAATCTATTCGTTCTTCTTTATTACATTAGACACATAATCTAAGTCCTTATTTACTCTTCATGATTGGTTATAAACATACTATACAAGACTCACCTAGCATAGTCCATCCTTATAAAAGTAATTAACCTATTTTTTTGGATGCTTCATCTGCAGCTGCTTTATTTAATAAAAATCTCTAATTAAAATCTTCTACCTAATCATCAAAATTGAAATCATCTGAATCATAATCTTTACTATTTTTTTTTTGAATAATCTCTGGTTTTGATTCTGATCCACTTTGATTTGTTTTAATTTTGGTGTCTTAGGAGTCTTAATCTAAAATCACTTAATCTTAAGTAATGATATCACATTTAGGACAATATAAATTTCTGTTTTCTAGAAATATTAATAATGTTGCTTTGCATTCACATACCATAGTAGTTAATTTCCAACCTTCATCAAGTTTTCTATTCATTCTTTAAAACTAACTCATTTTTTATTAATAAATGAATTTATTATAAAAGAATATATTTTATATTTATCATCAAATATCAAATAAACTCTTCCTTTAATCAATATCGTAGCTTTTATGGTGTTAATTTAGAAATTACAAGATTATTCTATCTAATTACTTTATCCATTTCATTTTTCCAATACTAAAGAATCATAAATTTATAAAAATGATTACCTTTATTTCTTATTATAACTCAATTATTTGCTTACTAAATTATTCTTTTAATTATTTTTCTTTTTCATTCTTTTTACATAATTATTTTTCATAATGTTCAATTTTTACAAATAAATTAGAGTTCTCATTTTATAATATTTTAATTTGCTCAGTATTTTTATTCGCTTAGTTAAGTTTTACTTCCATATCATTCAATTATTCTTGAAAATTCTAACAAACAATATTTCAATAATAATTTACTCTGTCTCTAGGACTCTAAATATTTCTTGATGTTTTCTTTAATAGTTCAATTTCTTCTTTGTAATTCTATTCTTTTAATGCAAAATCTTTCAATTTTTTATGATAATCAGATATATTAATATTAGATTATTGAATTAATCCTTCATATTTCTAAATCACTTCCTATTCTTTTATTTTATAATAATCTATTTAATTAACGGTTGAATACCTTCATAATATTTCCTCAACTTTTCTCTCTCTATGTTATTTTCCTATTGATATTAATATAATTTATTTAATGCTTCTCTTGCAATATCACCTTATCTTTTCAATTCTTCTTATAAATTTTTTTCATTGAATTTTAGATCCTTAATTTTACTTTCTTAATTTTCAATTATCTTTTCAAGATCCTCTCTATTTTTAGTAAACTATTACTTATTTTTTATTAAGGTTTCAAAGCTTGATTTTAAATTCAGGACTTATTCTTGATTAACTAGAGATTTAGATTTAACTTTTTTTTTAGAAGTTTTATTAGAATTATTTGTATTATCTTTATTTTTCTTCTTGGAATCATTTGGATTAGTTTTCTATCTAGTAGCCATATATATATGTAAAAAAAGAAATATAATTAAATAATAATTTATACATATATATTTTTTAATTTTTTGTTATTTTCAATTAATAAGTCATTTTATTTTATAGTCTGTAGAAGAGTATGTTTGATAAGTTCTATTCAATAATGATAATTTATATTAGAATATGAATGATTAATTTGCAGTAGCTTAACTATTTCTTGTGTAATTAATTACAAAATCTTTAACTTATTAAAGAACAACTATTTTTTATACAGAATCCCAAAACACTAATACTCAAAATAAAAGTTATCATAAAAAAGAAAAAATATTTAATTACTAAATAATATTATTATCTAAATTGAAATTATTATTAGAATGTATTATGAAAATTTTTGGCTTTATCACATTTTTATCATTGTTTGTTTAATTTCAACTGAACTTAATTTATAAATATGATCTAAGACATTAAAATAGAGTTATACGATTTTATTGACTTTGACTATTTAATTGATGATTTAAAAAATTTTAATGTTTAATTGTCACAGAAAATGATAAATTAATTAATAAACTTGAGAATAATGATAATTTTTATTACAAGATTGATTCATATTAAATTTAATTATATAAAATATGTGTTTTTTAATAAAAGCAATTTTAATTTTATTACCTTTTGTAAATGGAGCCTAAAAATTAAGACTTTAAGGATCGAAGCCTTTATATATGGATTGCAAAATGATTGATGAAAGTTTTTTTAATTTATTATATTTTAGGAGATAATGGCTTTGTAGGAAGTTAGTATTTTTATAAATACCTTTCATAATCTGGAAATCTTTTAAATCTTGATCAGATTACCTTTAGCTTTTGGATGTTAGTCTATTCAAAAATGAAATTGAATGGAAAGTAAATTTTATTTGGTTTTGTCGATGGTTACACAAATAATCCTGTAAAGAATTAATATAATATTAGTATCTTAATTTAATGTTGTATTACTAAATAGAATAAGGAGATTATTACATGTATGTAGTAAATTAAAGATTTTCTCCAGAGATCATTAAATTGAAATTAAAATAGTAAATATATAGTTTATTTTAGAGAGAACGATCTTTATATTGGTAGTTGGAATCATATACTATTATCTATAGATTAGAGCACAAGTAATACTTTTATAAATTTGAAATTTTTTTCTACATTCGATTATTAATTGAATTAGTTTCAAGAGACACTAGTGAATTAAAAGTATATTATATTTTATATTATTAGATTAAATTATAAATTTGGGGTTCATTCAAGAATAACAAATGAATAATTATATAATGCACCATTTGATTACAAAGCATGTGTATATATTGCTAATTTTGATTATATCAATGGATGGACAACAATGGATTCAGAAATATATATTGATTATGATTTAGAACTCAAATACTTTTTAAAACCATATAAAACAAATGGTCTCAATGTTAATGATATATTTATGAATGTAATTATGAGATCATACACTAATCCAATAATATATAGTGATACAATTGGGTTGATCTTGTATAAAAATACATAGATAGTCTACAATTTTATGGAATAATTAAGTTCATTTACAATGATGTTTTGGATTAAACCATAAAATATAATATCAAATTTTTAATTTCTTTCTTTAACTGATGATGCATTATAAAAGACAAGTGTAGGTTTTGGAATAAGTAAGGAATATTATTTATTATTTCATTAAAATTATGATAAGACTTATTTAGGTAATCTAGCTGATAATGTTTGGGTTCATGTGACAGCTGGTTTTTTAGAATTAAGTTTAAATTATGATTTTTATCCTACAAATTAAAAGAAATTATTAAGAGTTTTTATTGATGAGGTTTAGGTTACATTGAAAACAATAACAAACGTAATAGTATATAGAAGATTAGTATTGGGACCAATATTTAATGATGATTTTGGAAGTGAAATGATTGATATTTAAGATATTAGAATTTTTAAAGGTTATGGCATATTAAAAAGTCAAGGGGATTGTTAATTATTTGTTGGTGCTTATTGTGCATTTTGTAAAGCTGGTACTCATTATTGCAAAGAGTAAGACCCTACTGATAATATAAATATTTATAAATGTCCAGCTGGATATAAGGAATCTGGCACTAGTTGTGCACTTATATCAATATCAAATTGTCTTAGATAATCAGGATCATTATGTACAGTATGTGCAGATAATTATTTATTAAAAAATGGATAATGTGTAATGATAACTGCTTTAGTCTCCCCATTTAATTGTTAAGATGATTTTGCAATATTTTGTTAAAGAAGGAATTTATTAATAATGAATAGTAAGAGTATTGATGACAAAAGTAAATTATGTATAGATAGTTATAATTAATACAATCCAGCAACCTACAGATGTGAATAAATCTCATCATAAATTTGTTTATAAGCTCAATACTTAAAATCTTGCTATGTTTGTAATAGTGGATATTATTTAACTGAATTAAATACATGTCAAAAGACTTGTACAGCAAACTACAAATTTTAATTAAATGGGGTTTGTTTAAAGGATTGCCCAGGAAGATATTTATACTAATATAATTGTTTAATTGGAAAATCATAACCTACATTCACTTGTAATACATCTTAAAAATGCAATCGTAATGAAGTTAACATAAATTATTATTGTTTAAAATCTATTGAATAGACTGGGAAGGTCATTTCTTGTATTTAATTTGGTTCAATCTAAAAGTAAGTATATTTTGATTGTGATCCACTTTGTAAATATTGTTATGGAACAGAGTCCTATTAATGTTTGGGTTGTTATTCGAATATGTTTTATAGTCCATATTATACAACTTGTGTAGATGATTGTTCTACTTAAGCTAAGTTTAAATATAATAATAGAGATTGGATGGTTTGTGAATTAGAATGTCCATCAGAATATTTAACATAAGAATATGAATGTGTGACTACATGTGGTGTTGGTTATGCTAAATATAATACAATATGTCAAATAGATACTGATATTACTGATAATTACTTAAAAACTACTCCAATTCCTATGTTTGTTGATTGTCCAGAATTATGTTAGACATGTACAAGTGATACATATTGTACTAGTTGTCTTAATAATTATCCTTTAAATTAAAATAAATGTGTTACATCATGTTATCCATAATATCTCTATGTAAATGAAGATAATGTAAATTAATGTTTAGTTAATTGTGATCCAACTGATTTAGTCTATTAAAATAATAATATTGATGGATATTCCATTAGACAATGCTTCAAAATTAAATGCGGCTATATCAAAACGAATAAAATGTATTAAACTTATTAACATTAAACAAATCCTCTCATTTGTATGTATCCATGTGATAGTGGATATTATGCTTAAATATCCACTTATTAATGTACAAAATGCAGTACTAATTGTGCCACTTGTTATAATACAGCTACTACTTGTACATCTTGTTATCCTACTACTTTTCTTTAAGATTATGATTGTTTCAAAACATGTAAATCTAAATTTAAAAATTATATTAATTGGTAATGTGAAGGCTCATGTTCTATAGGATTTACAATAGATGATAAAATTCAAAGCATTTAAGCTTGTGTCAATAAATGTGGACAAGTATTTGGAACCTTTATATATTCTCTCAATAATCGATGCTATGAAACTGCCCCAATCATTGGAGCATATTGTATAAACTTAGATTGTTTTAATTGTTATTATAATTGCAAGACATGTTCAGGTCCCAATAATAATTAATGTTTAACTTGTTATGATAAAACATTTTTCTTATCTAATTAATGTGTTATAGATTGTGGAACTAAATTTTATGATTTATTAAATTGGAAATGTGTCAATACTTGTCCAATCAATTTATATACTACATCTGGCTATTAAATTATTAATACAATTAATAAACTAGTTACATCCTGTTCTTCTACTTGCTTATATAATTAATTTTAATATAAAGATTTATGTTCAGATTTATAACCAATAGGAACATATTGTGTTTAAAAGACTA